GTTGCACTTTTCTCCTTGCCCACCCCTCCCCCAGTTGCCATATTTTTACAGGCTTGTCTTCTGTTTTAAAGACAAAGTCTGTGAGGAGCTGGCAGAATTGACTGCTTCACAACCGGACTGTCCACAGAACAGCAGCGTTGGTTCTGCGGGGTCCGAAGCAGGAAGTGAAGCCTTAGAAAAGGAACTCTGCCCAGAGGACGGTGGTCCCGTGTGGTTACCAGCTCCGTCTAAAGAGTTCACCACCTGCCTGACAACCTCTGGGGCTCAGAAAAGCCAGATGATCTTAACCCACTGCAGTGTTTCGAGAGGCCTCAAGCAGCACTTCCTCCATTCAGGAAACCGTTCAGCTGCTCTTGAGAAACAGATCTGGCCTGCACTTGTGATGGTGGCCAAAACGGCTGTCTTTTGAATACTGTGCAGAAGTGAGGGGGCAAGATGGTTTTCGTGTTGAAGCAGTATTCAAGCTGAAACAAGTTTGATGCCTGTACGGCTTGGTTGAATTAGACCCTCACACTACTGGTCACAGTTGTTAACATTAAATTTTAATAATTTTTTTTTTTTTACTTTTTATGTGTGTACCGTCAAATTGAATCTGACTGGTACAGGAGGCAATTGTTCCTCCTTCTTCAGCAGAGCATCCAGTGGATTTGAACCACGCACCTCTGGGATTGCAGTACAGTTTCCTGCCACTAAGCCACCAGAGCTCGCCTAATTTTTTTTTTTTTAAAGTTCAAGTATAGTGGTTGTAAATAAATATAGTAGTGGAATACTCGGAGACAAACTTTAGTGACCTGATGTGAAACATAAGTTTCAATGAATATAATTTTATGTTTGTTATCCAAAAAAAGAAGGAACTTGATTTACCATTCTGGAATTCCCAGGCTTGGCCTTGTGACAGCATGTGCCATCTCCTTCCTAGAATAAAATCTATGTCTAAGAAAATTAAGTATGTATAAACTCTGAAGTGATTACTTTGTAACACCTGGCTTTTTGGAAATAGTGATGAAATTTCGCCTGTTTTTTTTTCCCTGAGTTTTATATCCATTGCCTGCTTTTTGATTCTTTCTTAGCAATTATTTAACATTCTAGAAAAAGTAGTATTTATAGTCCTATAAATTAACTGTTGTAACCTGCCCTTGTTTAAAATAAATAACTCCCAGGGTTTAGGGCTGCTGTACATAGGGTCGCAAGCGACTCGATGGCACATAACAACAACAACAACCACCCCTACTCTAGTGAGCTCTGGTGGCCTAGTGATGAGAAACTGGGCTGCAGTCCCGAAGGCATGTAGTTCTAATCCACCATCTGCTCTGTGAGATAATGATGGGCATTCTCCTCCGTGCAAATAACTGGTTCTGAAGACCGCCACGGGGTCCGTGGTGAGTCCGTTCTGACTGGACAGTACTCTGCAACATGGAGGAACTAAAGAAAGTTCAAAAAAAATCCTCTTGAGTAGGATTTCCCCTTTGTTTAAAGTTACGCTGGTAGACTGAGAGTCTGCCAGTGTTCGCGTCAGTACATGTGGACAGAAGGTTTGAGCATATGTTTTTTGAAAGAGGGAAATAGCGGGGCATCTCCTCAGTTGTCCACAGTCAGGTTCAAAGACCAGGTTGTGATGTGAAAATTGGCATTAGGTGAAATGGGGGGTGACCATCATTTAACACATCTGCCCAGATGACAGCGTTAGGTAACTGCCAGGCCACTGAGACCCACCGCCCCGCCAGGCTGGCACACACGTGGCCTTACCAGTCCTGGGCACCTTTGTCACTGCCAGGCTTCCGTCATTAATGTGGCTGTGGTCAGATAGAAACTTTTTACTGTTGGGAATACAACATGCAGGTAAGGGGATGGTCGGTGAGTGAGGACATTCCGGGTGAGCCCCTGTGTCATGGACTTCTCCGCCCGTGGGGTGTCCTCGTTCTGTGAAGGGGCAGTCAGAGGTGGCAGAACCAGCCATTCCAGGTCCTCTTTACCACGTGGTCCTCTGTGTCGAGGAGGAGATCTGGGCCTGAAGAAGCTTGTTCTCTCTCCATCCTAAAAGATTTTATAGGACAACCTTATTCCTGTGGATTCCCTGGTCTGCGGAGTAGGGAATTGTACTGCCAACCCAAAGGCAAGCCGTTTGACTCCACCAGCTGCCCCGTTACGGAAAGATGGCCGTCTCCTGCCCTGAGATTCATCGCTCTGGAGGTCAGCTGTGAGGCAGTTCCTACTCCGTGGCCGTGCGAGTGAGTGAGTGAGGGTGCTTCATTCCAAAGTGGGCATCGAGCCACGTTGGCTGTGTTGGTACAGTGACCACTGTCCTAGTGGTCCTTTCCTCCTCCTCCCTGCCCTGTGAGGATGTCACCCCAGTCCCCAGGACAAAGGTTTGACTGGATCTGTAGGGCTCTTTTAAAAACATGATTAAATGAGCACAAGCAGTACACTAATGTGTCTGGATAGCACATGTGAGAACTTAACGCACAAACTTAGACTTGAACTTTTAAAAAAGCTAACATTTGCCACTGAAGAACCACGGCTGTTTCCCCTGTGTCCCCATCCTGCTCCTGCACAGAATTGTCCGGTGACGGTGGGCTCAAGCGTGGCACGAATGGTGAGGAAGGCGCGGGATAGGACACAGCTCATGGGTCGCAGTCCATTCACCGGCACCTGACAACACTGAGTGCCACCGGTCACTCGTGCATCGTGGTCCTGCCAGCTCCATTTTCCGAAGAAGAAGCTTAGTTAGGGAAGGAAGGTCGGGGCCAGATGGCGCAGGTGATGAGGAAGTGTTAACAAACGACAGCGTTCCCGTCACAGCCTGCCGCCACTCTGCCTCCACTGGAGGGGACAGACTGGAAGGCAGTGTTTTCATGAAGACATGACAAATGACAGTTCCCAAACCGGTTAAGTGTGGAAGTGCCCCCTGAAATAGAAATCTCTTCTGATGGCCTGGTGGTAGTTGAGGGCACGCACAGCTGATTTAGAAGTGGGGTTTTGTTTTAATCAGATGCATGGAAAAGATTAGAGGAGAAAGACGAGGAAAGATAAAGGTCTCAGAAACTTTCTGCAGCTTCTGAGAGCAGCTTCTTTGTCAGGCCCTTGGCAGTTTACGGCCGACGTGTTACTCTCTGCTAGTTGTGTCCTGGGCTGGTTCATGACTTCTCTCTCCTTGATGAAAACACCACACTCCCCCCTGACTCACAGCCTACCCTGTTCACACAGTGGAGAGATGGTGGGAAAACCAATGAGAGTGGTGTGGTCTGGGAAGTAGTGATGTGCTCTGTTTGTACCTGTCCCCAGGTGTGTGGATGGAGGCAGCCTCCACAGCTGTCCCATCTCTCGCCTTCAGGGGGCACTGTTGGCCCAGTGTTCTGTGAGTGCACAGGATGGTGGATGGTAGGAGGTCTGGTCAGTTCTGACTCATCGTAACTCTAGGACAGAATGGAATCGCCTCCAAAACCATAATCTTTCTGGAAGCTGACTGCCACATCTTAGACCCTCAGCACACCTGGAGGATTAAAACCACTGGCCTTTGGGTTGGTGACTGAGTGCTTTAACTGCTGTGCTACCCAGGATTCTGATTTGAGGGCATCCACTACCCTCTCCTTTCCAGAAATGAAAGCTACTTGGCCCCATTCCGTTTGGAAGTCTCTGTGTCTATATTTCTCTTACTGGTTTCTGTCTATTTGAAAATCTACTTCTTTCCACCCAGCTAAGCAGAGAAAGAGTGTCTGGTAACCAGCAGCTCTCTTCTCACTAAAATGTCACGGAACTCGGCATGCTCTGCCGACAGGCGTGCGATCTGGAGGGGCCGGGCCAGCCTCTGCGCTCGCATCCCTGATTTCTGTGTGCCACCTACACAGTGTCTGATGTGTGTTCACTGTGATTTCTGCACGTCTTGGACCATATTCTTAGACCTATTGCAACATTCTCTGCCTCCAAAGAAAAAGTTACGGCTCCCAGCTAATAAGAACTTGGCTGACGCTTTATTTAGAAAGACGAGAATAGACAAGATCCGGGAGATAAGACAAGTTGCAGCACAGTCTTCGGTGCCTCTGCAGGCATACGGCGCATCTTTCGACCTGCCGAGTTCGTTCCAGGAACTCCTGTCTGTTTTCCCAGGTGGCTCCCGTCTCAGCGGATTTCGGTCCAGCAGCCCAGGGGCTCCATGACCTCATCCCTCATTAGCTCTTCCAGGGCCATCTGTGTTCAAAGGGCTGATAGTAAAGACAAGGGCATAATTATTTCCCTGGCGCGATGAAGCCCTGGGATGGCAAGCAGTCAGCGTGTTTCTTGCGTAGATTGCTGAGGACAGTGTTTTTGACGGGGTGATGACGCTCTGGGGGGACAGATGGTTTCCCTGCAGCCTCGTCTGCTGCCGCACAGGTGACCTGGGTCAGTTACTCCCATCAGTGAGACCAGCTGCCCCGCTTCTTCCCGGAGTGGCCTCAGAGAGCAAGCAGCTCTGCTTGGCGCTGGCCGTGTGTGGACTGACTCAGCTGTGTCTTCACTGAGCACCTGCTGCCTTGGTCTGTGAGCCGTGTGCAGCTGGCCCTCACCTGCCTGCACTGCCACCAGCAGCGTGCACACGTCCCCGTCTGCTGTGTGGCCCTCACCTGCCTGCTGTGTGGCCCTCACCTGTCTGCTGTGTGGCCCTCACCTGTCTGCTGTGTGGCCCTCACCCGTCTGCTGTGTGGCCCTCACCCGTCTGCTGTGTGGCCCTCACCTGTCTGCTGTGTGGCCCTCACCTGTCTGCTGTGTGGCCCTCACCTGTCTGCTGTGTGGCCCTCACCCGCCTGCTGGGTGGCCCTCACCCGCCTGCTGGGTGGCCCTCACCCGCCTGCTGTGTGGCCCTCGCCTGCCTGCTGTGTGGCTCTCACCCGTCTGCCGCGTGGTCCTCACCTGTCTGGTGTGTGCATTCCTGTCCACAGGCCCCATCAGGTGTCCTGGCTTTCCTCATCTTCACCCGTCTGTTTTCCTTCTCCCCTTCCCTAGGACTCCTGGCCGCAGCTGGTCAAGACATGGCCTCGCTCTCCGAGTACGCCTCGCGCATGAGCCGGCTGAGCGCCCGGCTGTTCGGCGAGGTGGCCAGGCCCACGGACTCCAAGTCCATGAAGGTGGTGAAGCTCTTCAGTGAACTGCCGCTGGCCAAGAGGAAGGAGACTTACGACTGGTACCCCAACCACAACACGTACTTTGCGCTCATGGGGACCCTGCGCTATTTCGGTCTCTACAGGTGAGACAGCACAAAGCGGCCAGGTCGGGAGGGGGTGAGATGGGAGAGCAGCCTGTCTGTCCTGGGGGGTGGATGTGGGCATAGTTGGGCCAGGTGTTCACAAGGCGGTGTAGGGTGAAGTGCTGCTCCCCAAAGACCTGCAGGCATGCAGTTACCGAGGCACGTGTCCATTCTGTCAGCGAGGTGACCGAGAGCACAGGAGAGATTCAGCTGTAGAGCGGTGTTGAGTTGACCTCAGGGTGAGGGCGCTCTGGGAAGAAGCTGAGGAAGCAGGTGCAGGCTGCCTCTGCAGGTGGCATGACCTCCAGGCCCTGTCAGCCAGGTGAGCAGAGTCCCGGCCCCAGCACTGGCCTCGGAGCCCCCTCATCCCACTGGCCGTCCCACTGTCACGCCAGTTCCTCCCTCTTGTTTGGACTGCTTCACTGTGCCCTTCCTGACACATGCCTTTAGTCCAAGTGGACAGTGGCCCTCTGAGAGGAGGTATGGGGACACACTGCTGTCACTGAGGGACAAGTGAGGACACTACACAGAGCACCAGTCCAGAAAGCCTGGGGCTCGTGTGCGCCCGCGGAGTGACATAGACAGCGGAGTACACCAGGGCATCTCCCTCACCGTTTCTTCAAAGGTCCCCAACTCCTGCACGTTCATGATGAAGAAAGTCAGACTGTACCACGATGTGGAGAGAAAACAGCCACCTGTGCAGGTTGATGCGTTCTGAGTGAGGGTTCACAGAGCTAATGGGCTTTCAGACACATGTCCCAGGACCCACAACCTAATTGCCTTCCCCCAACCCCCCACTGTGTTCTCATTTCCCGTAATGTCTGTCTGTCTTGCCTGTCTGCCTGTCCAGCTGGACTTCTCTGTCTTCCTTGCTTTAGTGACACTGCTGATCCTCCTTGGTTGCATCTTGCCTGTTCCTTCCCCTATCTGTACGTGACGGTTGTCTACGTACAAAGGTTGACACCCTCCCCTTCTGATTCCCAGTCCATCCGTGAATCGTTCTTTCTGGGTGTAAACCATTTAGTGGTCCTATACAAAACTTGTCCTTTTGTGACTGACTGCTTTCACTTAGCATGTTGTTGTTGTGTGCCATTGATTTGCCTGTGACCCACAGCGACCCTACG